AGACCTAAATTTAAAATATACAGCTCCAGATATGACTCAATTACCGAACAGTGTTCTAGTTTGGATTGCACCAACATCTCTTTTCTAAGTTTGGCCCTCTATTTATCCTTTCAATTTTAATACCTCAACTTATCAATCCTTTTATTTATGTGATATGCCTGCATTTAGGATGAATATTTATCATAAATTAAAGGTATTTTATGGTATCAAACTTGTTATTATAAAATATATTTTAGTTAAGGAGTTATTAATACTTCAAATGCGAAATAATGATATAAAACCTTGATAAAAATACACTTTTAAATATTAATCAGAGACCATCTGGTTGAAGTGATCTTTTGATGTGAGCAAGGGTGTGATTTGGTAACTCTGGTGATTGAAAAGTTTAGCAAGTACCTGTAAACTTGGCTAAATATGCTCTTAGAATCGTAAGCTTTAGAGGCTGCAAGATACAAGCTTATGCTGAAGAAGCGAGAGGACAATTGCCTATATGAATGACAAAGGGGGTGATTGTTAGAATTATTGTCATTAATATGCAACAATCATGAAAGAAACTTTTGCAGCCTATCCTAAAAAGTAGGGTTGCCATTGTCAAAAGGCTACAATAATAATTGTACTAACTATTGATAAAAATAGTGCAATCCATGTGTTGTTACCATTTGTGTCATGATTTATGGCCCATTGTCTGCCATGAATTGCCTATAAATAAAGGCATTAGTTGAGAGCAAAATAAGAGAGAGTATATAGCCAAAGATGTGAGAAATATAGGAGAGTGTGGGCTGTCAAGGGCAACCAGCAGTAGCTGTCATTGCAACACTGAGAAGAGAGAAATAGAGTGAGGTTGAAAGTTGAAGAGTTGATAATTTCTTCTCCTCTATTATTGTAAATCTTGTTATCTCCCTATATAATGAAATGGCTTCTCCCGTGAATGTAAGCGGTTTGTCGAACCACGTTAAATATTGTATCAATATGCTTAGCTTCCAATGAGTAATTATTAGTACATCACCAATCTGAATCCCTAATATGCCCCTACATCTAGCTTTTAAGCTAAAGAGTTACGAGTTTAGTATTGATAAGAACATTATATTTCCTAACCGACTGGCCACTAACAAATGTTCATTTAAGCTTGCCGTGGATCATTCCTTGTATTCCCATTGTGGTATTGGGAGAGGAGACAGATCTACAACATGGATCAATGTTGGTGGGTTATCTGTTTTACAGGTTGAAATTCTTCCCATTTTATCAACTACGTAGAAATTTCCTGAAAGAAACATAATATGGATGGTTGGGGCTGTCTTTTTGGCCCATGGAAGCTGACAAAGAAGATCGTGAGGCTTCTAAGGTAAAGCTGAGTGCCATGATTTGCGAACAGCTCTAATGCAAATGCAATCCACGTAGTTGGTTTGTTTTCAGGCTGTGATTTTTAGCAATTCCGGTTGAATGTCTCACCACCTGGACATTGTTATTGTTTTAGCCAATGTTTTCGGCCTTGAAATTATATAGAAGTCCAGGATGTTGGTCCTAGAGAAATGGTCAAATGTTGTGTTGTTTCTATGTGAAATCTCCTTAAGTTTTGGCTATTATTCCTTCCGTTTTCTTTTCCCTGTTTTGCTACAATTCACTGCTTAGGCAACAATGATAAGTTTTGTAGCCGGACAGGTTGGAGTTATCATAGGCATCAATCAACTAGCATTCATTAGGACATAACCAAGCACACATGACTGTTTGATTATTTAGTTAATCTGCACATTCGTTTAAGTTGTTTAAGGACCTAGATAAATCCCTTTCACCTAATTCAGGCCATTTGTCACAGCAAGGAGAGACTGAAGATGGACAAAATTACTTATATCATGTAATGTACATTAATGGATGTATTTGGGTAGTTGTTTCAGGAAGCAAATCACTTTTTTTTTACATGATTATTAAACATAATCTAACTTTCGAGGTTGATTCGATGACCGGATTGATTAAATAATATGATCAAATCTAATAAGAATTGGTTGTGTTAATTCTAAAGGATAAAAAAAAACTAAAATAATTTCATTATAGGCAAAATGACTGATCTAATGTTTTACAAGTTGACTTTGTGATCTAGTGATCTAGATCTTAAATCCGACTGGATTTCGCTAGGTGTTACTTCTATGCTTTTTGACAATCAAAATGGGTTTAGATGGTTATTTTATTTTTAATTGTCATCAGTGTATAACAAACAAAGAAAACAAACTGCATATTTTCAATACCTATTATGTATCAAAAGAGTTTAAGATTTACTTTCTAACTGCTGGTAGCCATAGACTTGCTTGATTGCCCATATGTAACATAAAGCTTCAAGTTGAACAAGAAAATGCCAAATCAAATTCACATATGACAGCCTAGTTCAGGCGTTCACGGGCTTATCGTAACCCAGACAGGTGGTGGCAAAGCGAACGAGGACCAATTTCGTTTTAGGCTTTCCTCGTAAAAGAAAATGCATGGACTGCGCGGTTGCTTAATCCGATACAAGGGTAATCCTAGACGTCGGACACTTCCACTGTGGAAGTCAAAAACACCGAATTCGTGACCCTCCCATAAGAAATCAGCACAGACCATAAGATTATCATCAGTAAAATAAATGCAATCACCTTTGCATTTGTTGAAATCCAGAGCTGATAGAGAGTGTGAGCAATTCCAGCCCAAAAACAACATTTTATCCCCAAACCCTCTACCTCTGACCACTTTGATTCCTCTCTCTCTAGCTTGTAAGCCACAAAACTGAAAGTTTCGTATCCATAAACAGGAACATGATATTTGCTGCGCCGACCTACTAATAAAAGACTTCCATTTAAGTTTGCCATGTACCATTGCTTGTGTCCCATTTTTGGTGGTACAGGCGGTGGATCTGCAACATGGATCAATGATGGAGGATTGTCTGTTTTACAGATTGAAACTCTTCCCACTTCATCAATTACAAAAATATTTCCTTCATGAAACATAATATCTTTATAATTCAATGGTGGTGAGGTTTCTCTGATGATAGTCCACGCTATGTCTCCTGATGAACCAAAGGCTAAATTTTCATGCTCAGTACCATATATGGCCATGACCATGAAGTTGGAAACCAAGGAAGGATCAGCAGACGCTCTGACTTTTCTTATAAACCTGTCTCTTAGACGTTGTTTGGACGACCTAATGGAACTCGGATGCAGGTTCCGTGATAGTGAAGGAAGATTAGGGAAGGTGGATAGTGAAGGAAGATCGATTCTGGCTTTTGTTAATGGATTTAGGAGAAATATCGCGGGGGTTTCCTCGACCATAACCAGCCAACCATGTGAAGAACCACAGCACCGTTTTTCATAAGCTTCAGGCAATTCCAGGCGGTATGTCCCTAGCTTCGCATCAGGAATCTCGACTTTGGAGAAATGTTAAAATGATGTGTTGTTTACTTGTTTCTATGTGCAATCATTTTGTGTTTCGGCAATCTCCTTGTGTTTTAGCTTTGCTTCTTGGCATTTTCTTCTTGTCCATGAAATCTTTTTCTTTGATGATAGATCAAGTCTCGGCATTTGTACTTGTCCATATTTATTTTTGTTACATACGCAAGCAGATGCCACAAGTTTTTGCATCCAGGAATACTCCTGGGGGATTAGAACCAGATGTTTGTTTCTTGTTAATATCCCCGCATTGGTTTTAAATGTTTCTCAATCTAGTTTTAGAGGTTATCGATTGAGAATTCATTTGGAGATTGTCTGCGGCAATTATGAATTGCTACAATTCCACTAGATAGAAGTGCATTGCTTAGGTGCGTAGGAACAAAGGTCATTGGTTCTGCGCAGCATTTTGTTCTACACTAACAGCTCTAAATCTGTTTCTGGTGTAAAGTTCCCTTATCGGTTATTCGATTAAAGTTTTGCTTCTGAAGTAATAATTCATAAATAAGAAGAATCTGACTATGGGGAACTGGCCAGATCAAAGTAAAGAAGCTCTCATGTGATGATAGACAGACAATTGTTTCGAAATTGAGATATCCAGGAACGAATACTTTCTGAGAGGGCAAAGAGATAAAAAGAAAGGAAGATTTGCATCATTTCTCCTAAGACTATATATTTACACCTAATTCTCGGACTGATTGTAACCCAAACAGGAGGTGGTAAGATGTCCAAAGACATATTGCGATATTTCGGCAATTAGATGCAGAAGTTCTGATGGAAGTTCCGACCACATGGACCTGTTTGATGTTTCTCAGCTTTTTTGTCTAGTGAGTGCTTTATTTGGTGAAAAGTCTCAGTTATCTGCCTTAAAGTTTCTGACCTTCGGTGCTTTAAATTAAGAATTTAAAACGATTTGTATCTGCCAAAGTAGTTCTTGTCCAGATTCATTTTTAGGTTTTTGTCTCTGTCTGGCTTGCTCAGAATTTTTTATCCTAAGTTGCTTACAGTGTATACTACCATATCATCATCACCTTGCCGGCAACGCTAATACACGAAGACTATAGAGCTGCGTTCACACTATGCCGCACTCCAAAAATGAACCAACGCAACCTTTACCTCACATCAAAACTTGAAATCTCTACATAGAGAAGTTTTATATTTGTATTTAAGGGAAATCCCAGATTACAAATCTGAAAAAAATGAAGAGAACTCAATTATCATAATAGTCAAAGGAAACTGAAGAAACTCCCAGCCCTTTATCGATTTGTCAGTGCTAGTGAGCTAGGCTGCTTCCCTGCTTCTCTGATTTCCCTCCACCAGGTAAACAAAGTTAATATGCTGTCTATTTCACTGGCTAAATGTTGCATATACTATTTATTGGTTGCATCTACATGCTGGTACAGCATTAATATGGTACCAACTCTCAAGACAGGAGAGAAGAAGCAGTGAAGTGAAAATGGAGATGACATATTCTTGTGTTTTTCCTGTTTTGAAATAACAAAAATTATCCGACTTCGTTCCTCCAACCAAATGCATTTCTATCCTTTTTGTCCTAACCAGACGCAACCACATCAAAGAAATAATATAATATATAATTAAAACAGAAAAATATTGTTATATCTAGACCACAGATATATATTCATTGACATGTCTGCAATTTTCATGAAATGCCTGTAAAGAGAATGTACAGTATGTGTTGTTCCTGCAGGGGATGTGGAGCAAGGGGAAAATGGAATTGTGAAAGTAACAGTAGTAGTACAGGGCAGTAAATATATAGAAAAAGCATGCACGCTAGCTAGGAGTATGAATGGGGAATCTTTGTCTGACTGTGGAAGTGATGATAGCAGGCATCCTTTACTCTTCTTACTGAAGACCGCCCGACCTTCCATCTTCACACATTTACTCACCTCACCAAACTTTTCCCAGCAATAAAATAGAAGGAGAAAACATTGTCCTTCCTTTGCCACCGCCTCTGCAACGAAAATGTATTAGAAAAGACACTCTGTTTAAGGGATTCTACTCATTGATTTCGAACTCGACAAATCAAGAGGAGAAGAGAACTTCTCTAACCATCATGTATATCCCTTGGGATTAACTCTGAGATCATCTTGGTGCTGCATAACTATGCTTATTTATTTCTCTCCATCCAAACAAAATCGTTTAACAGTCCTCCAGACTGTATTATTATATGCGATGCCTTGCAAGGAAAAGCGATCTTAAATGAAAAGTGATGATGGAGACGGTGATGGGAAAAGGTGCCTCTCTTCAACGAATCAACCGATCCACTTGTCTTTTGCTTCATGTGATGTAATGCTGACTTTTTATGGTTACTCAAACCGAGAGGATTCAATTAATCAGGTGTTCTTGCTCCCCATCTTGTTCATGATTACATCCTAACTTAATTTTCAAGGGACGCGTATGATTAATGAGAACGACCAAAATAATCCGTAGAAATTAATATAAAATTAATTGAACTAAACAATTTTTTGAATTTGTTGGATAATTTTGGTTACGAAATTAAAAAAGGGGGGGGTTAATTTAGTTTTGACTTCAAATTTTAGAATTTGAAAAAACTAACTAAACCGACAAGTTAAATAAATAAAAAATACAAGCTAAAGGCCTGTAAAATAAAAACTTGTTAAAATAATCCATTTAAATGTTTATTAATTTAAATTGGATTATTTCGTTTTAACAAATATAACATTGAACTCATTGTTTTCATCATTTTATTTATTTGATTTAGTTTCGATTTAATTTTTATTTTTTTTAAATAGTTCGGTTGCATTTTCTATCCGAACCGAATTATTTGAATTGATGCCCATCCCTAATGCATTAATTTCTCTCCTACTTCAGCAGCAATAATGAAAATATGAGACAACAAGAGTAGTAAATGACCGTCAAATACCATCCCTTCGATTTGCAGCTAAAGAATGGCTAAACCGACTCGTGATGCTCAAGCCTTAAAAGAAAGAAAATTCATCCCTTTTCTTGGAAGATGAAAGTCCAAAATCTACAAGTCGATAACGTTTGAGATAAATTTTACATGAAATATCCGCTCGTGTTTTAAGAAAATCAAATTGATGAACGAAAGAAGAAATAATTTAGCCATCATCTACCTATCGTATAGGAAGGAAAACAAGAGATGACTGAGGCGGGCTCTGAGATTATTGCCAAATTCTCAAAGATACACCACAGCACTGGAAATATTACTCTACGTGGCCCAAACTACAGTCCTGAAGTGCTGAAAGGAAGATAGAAATTAAATAAAAAAACTAGCAGTGAAAGCTGTGTCACATATGCTAGTTCGGAGCCTGAAAATTCCTGAGCGATCTTGTTAATTATGTTTTCTGATCATTAATTGTTAAGGTGAAGAAAACAGAAGCACAAACCTTCTGGCAGGCCTGTTTAGGCATGTAGACGAGAGATGGCTTGAAATAGAGAAAGAAATGAAAGAGCACTAAGATATTGGCACGGCTCAATCAGAGACGACCGACCACCATTATTCTTTCAAGCTTTGATGATCTTCTTGAAAAAAATGGTGTCTTTCTCTGAGTGAACCGGGCCAACATCGCAATGACACTTTCAAGCACACACAAACTGTCTTCCCAGCTTCAAGAAAGAGCTGCATTCTGTATTGCGAGAGAGAGAGAGAGAGAGAGAGCCAACAGACAAGGCTGAAGAGAAAGAGTATACAAGTCATGAAACAAAATGAGGATGTGCCCTATCAAATTTATGCAGATTGAGAAAGAGAGAGAAGGGACTTTGCTGGTGTGTGCATTAAAAACCCCGGACAACCTAAACCCGCATCAAGGACCAGAGCATTGAATGGTAACCCACGAACCACCACCTCCATAATATTCCCTGCAATAAATTTCCTCTCTGTCTCTCTGTATGATACAGGGCCTTGGTCCTCTCGTATTAATATTGGCAATGGCTCCATGATTCTGTACAAGCCTTTATTTTGACCCTGGACGAACAAACCAGAGCAAACTGATCAGTGCTGAAACCGTTTTTAATAAGGGAATCGTCCCATAAGGCCATAACTCTCCAGTCTGAACTGCATCTTAATTGCTATTTGTGGAATCTCATCAGTTTTTGTCTCTTTATTACCCATTTTAACTGCCGGTGTTTAGCAACCATTGACCCCTTTCCATGACTTGAATTTTGAAATGAAAAGCAAAAAAAAAAAAAAAAATACAATTATTATTTTCTGAAGGCATGTTTAAAAATAAAGGTTAAAAAATATCAAGAAGGTGACTAGGCCCAACAAGAAGCCCTTTTTTCAACAATATATATATGTTATTCAAAGAAGATCTTAGGCTCTAAAAAATCTCAAAGGACAAATTGTCATAATCAACTGCACACATGTCTTCTACAATTACAATCGAGCAACGCACAGGGGCATTACCAAAGAAAACAATACCAGAGCGCATTTTTTAAAAGTCCTGCAAAGAAACCTCTTTTGATAGCAGCTCCACAGCAACCTTAGAAACCATGATTGGTAATCCAAAACATTTTTATTTTAATATTTAAAAAATAATTGAAAATGTATCATTTCGGATAAAAAAAAATTAAACTTACCATGTCCACTAATTTTAACCGAATCAACTTTCAGTCAATTTTGATGTAAAACCGATCAAAACTAGGACTCTAATCAGTGGGTCCCAAAGTTAACTTACCGGGCTAGTATAAATTTTAGAACCATGATTAGAACCCCAGCTACATGTTTATCGTCTTATAAATCACGGTCCTAAAAAGTTTTATGTATGTGTTCCATGTGAATCATAACAATTTAATTGGCCCCGCGGGCTCGATTTTGTCATGGGATCTATAATGCCATTTGACTTGGTTCGTAGTATCTCGACTAAAAAGATTAGGCCCACCCTTCGCTAATTTATTGTTCCCCTTTTGCCAACCTGATTTTGTCACCGAATCCGAATCTAATTTCATGTCCTCTTCGGTTCTTCATCGGTAAGCAACTTAAAAAAACAGAAGATAAAAACTGAAATTCCTTCTTCCTGAAGTCATTATGTAAGTGCATAGCTCGCTGTTGCACGGACAACCCTCTCCTCTGGTTCCTCGATTGTTTTCCTCAATTTTATCTGTGTTTTAGGACAACGAAACATCGGTTTAAAGTGTTCCACCTGTAATTCTTTTGTTTTTCCAATGGTTTCGCTAGCAGTGTCGTTGGATAAGTCAACATGGAATGGCCAGGTAACCTTCTAAATCCCCCTTCTACTCGTTGCAAATTTTGCTGTCCTCTCTCCTTTCTTATCTTGTTTCCTTCTTGTTAAACCACCTTTTCTTTTCTTTCTGGAACAATTTAACTCTTCAATGTGCCGATAATAAAACCTTAACTCGACGATGAGCTACTAGGGGTTGTGGGCTTTTCTGATTACTCGAAAGAAAAGAAATTTTGGAATGAACACATTGCTTTTTGTAAGTTACAAGGGATGAACTCGACGTAACCTCCTGTATAGCTAAAGGTTCATGGGTTTATTTTAGTGGGAAGTACTATAATTTATACACTTTTATGTATAATTTATTAGTTTATTCATCTCCGTGCAAAGCCAGGGAGTTATCTAAAAAACTTTATTGAGTATTAAAACAATTTTAGTTTAACAAAAAAAATATTATTAAGTCAACATGTTTTTGTTTAAAAAAACAATCATGTTGGTTGTCAACTTCATTTTTTAATGAATCAAGCTTCTAGACTTTAAGTTAATTTATTGAGACGATTCAAGTTTTATAACGATATAATTTATGAAAGTTGTATGTGTTCAATATATTGAATCCCAATGGGTTTAAAAAGAACTCTGTATTTTGGATTTATTTTCTTTATTTTCATGGATAAATAGTAAGCTTTCTTTACATCTTTGGTTAGCATTAGCTCCATGGACTAGATACCATTAATTTATATAATTACATGGATTTTTAATCTTTGACGGGTGATTGAAATCTCACACTACTGCAGTAATAATAATTGTTGTATAAACTGGTTGAAAATATTTCTTATCATAAAATAAATAAATAATTTATTTATGCATAGGCATACGTACCTTGTATAAACTTTTGACTGAATCAATGATTATAGTTTTTTTTTTTTTCAATTTTAACCCCTCCTTTCCTATCAGATGCTACTTCATTGTTGTATAGGCTAATTCCCTATCTCGTTTTCTACTTTGATTCTCGCAGATGACAATCAAAGCTGGCTTTTCTATCTTGCCAATTCTGTTGTTCTTCCTTACCTCACTACTTTCCTGTGGAGCTATCTACACTGCAGAGAAATTTTGCACTAGTTTTTTGCTTATGATCATGGCATATTTGTTAAATTTAATGCAGATATCTTTGTGGGAATTGGACCAAGTTCATAAGGTAATCAAATATTTAAAGAAAGGAAAAAAAAAACTGATTCTTCTACCTGTTGATTTTACAACACACAGACTAATTGATTCCAAGTCTTTGCAAAATTACTGTAAAAAAATCATTATTTGATTGAATTTAGTGTTTCTAATTGCGAAATTACATCAGCAGGATTCAGAGGACTTGTTTTCTATTGCTTCAACAGCAGATGAGCATCAGGCATGCAATCCCTTCGTTTCTTTATTGTTATTCCCTAAGGCTTTTTTTTCAAACTGTTTAATGTCTGCCACGTTAGTAAATGGTTTCATGTTAATTCACTCTTCTCTTCTTCTCCAGATGACATTTACTCTTTCTCCTTTCGATCAGCCACATGCCGCCGTACTGTTCCCTGTCATATTGCCCTCCTTGGCAGCGTTTTACACCATAGAAGAGAACGTAATCGTGGGCTTGGGATTCGTGGTTATGGCATGTGTATCATTCTTAGCCCTGTATGGATTGTATTTTACATCTCCTGTCAATTCACCAGCCTTTGATTTCTGGGCTGAATGGACAGGCCTGAAATTGTGCAAGGTAGTAATTCTTTTTTTTTTTAATTATTCCATGACATTAAGTGAAATTAATCATATTTATAAAGACATGAAGATGGGGTTGATACTTGAGCCCATTTAAACTATGATATTTTTTTATGTAAAAGAATTAAACGTTTTATATTTAAAAAAAAATCTCAAAACAAAGTATTTTAATAATAAAATAGTTTAAAATTAAACTATTTTAGTGGTTTAATTAACAAGAATTAATACTTCATCAAGTTGATCCATCAATTCAAACCTGGTTTTATAACTATAAAATTAACAAGATAGGATAGGACTGGCACAGTGGTTGTAAATTTTCTTGTTTTTTTGTTTGTAATTTGATATTAAGTATTATTTTTCTAAAAATAGTAGTTGTTATTGAACTCGGTGTGAAAATTTTGAAAATTTAATGTGCAGACATTGATACATACTCCGCCTGAAGACAGAAGCCAGCAACTTGAAGTGCTATATAACCGTATATTGGGTCCTGTGGATGACGAGAGAGAGAGAAGTGAGGAGAGGAGTTCGATTTCTGAAGCTGAGTATCTGGAGGGAGAGGAAGGAGTTGGCGAGAACAATGTCCAAAATCAAGGGGCTGAAGTTGAAGGATTGAGAGAAAACGGACTTAAATTCGGCATTGAAATCGACGAGGACGAATGGGAATATATAAAAAGCTCCACTTCATGCCAAAGACACCCGAAGTGAGAGTTGAAGATAGGGTCTTTAATTCGAGGCTTCTAGCAATAAAAAAGAAAATATGATTAAAACTCGATCAAGCTTTCTTTTACCTTTCATTTTCCGTGCTTAGCTTGTAGGTCGAGGCTAGTTCTTATAGGCGTATCTCAGTAGGGTTTTTTGTCCTTTCCCTTTAACCGAAAAGGTCATTCCTTTTCGGCACATGTGTTTATGTGTTTTTTACGGTTATTATATTATTATACATATATAAAAGAAATAATGTTTTCATGTAAAAATAATATAATTATAAATTTGGCTAATTTCTTTTTTACTGTATCCTACTGTAGTGATATCAAAATCATAGTCTTTAGGGTTTTTTAATAGAAAAATAAGTTCTTTTATATATTTTTACTTCTATATTTGATATTTTTTTATCATTTTACACTTGATTTATTTATTATTATTATTTTTAATATTTTTTATTTTTTCCTTCTTTTTTTCCTCACATATTTTTTTCTAAAAAAATATTATTTTTTATTTTTTACACTTTGAATATTTATTACTCTATATTTTATTTATTTATATCATTTTTTCTTATTTTTATTTTTTTGTAATTTTTTATTTATTTTTCTTTATATTTTTTTAAATTATTATAAAAAAACTAAGAAAATAGTGTTTACTATAACAATTATAACATTGTTTCATTCTTTTATTATCTTAAAAATTAGCTTGTGATCTTGCATATTTTTATCGATCTGTATAATTTTTATTATATTTTATTTTATATAAATATTAATTTTTAAAATTATAATTATATTTTTTATTTGATATTAAAAAATACATTAATATTACCTCCACGTTAATTCTTTTATGTTAGAAAAATTACTTAATTTACAGTAAGGGAAGTTGAATTAACATGTTAACATTTTATTATTTGTATTTATTGACACATGATTCTTGATGTATTAATTAAATGCATGGATAAATCCTTTTATTTATAATTGTATTTAAAAATATATATATTTAAAAAACTTACATATTTATTTTTAGTTTTTGTTAAAAAAATTATCTGACCCCACAGTAAAATGTGGATTAAATAACTAGTTTGGATCTATTCCTTGATTTATTAAAAAAACTTCGTACAATTTTTTTTTCTTTTCAAATTGTAGTTTTCTATGCTGTTAAACTATGTTCTCACCGGTATAGGTTTTGCAGTACTCCACTTGGAGTTAATGGTTTGAATTTTATGTCGTGAATTAATGTCATGGTTTTCTTTTCATTTTTCATTTTTTTTTGGAAGAATCTAATGAATATATTTTTTAAAACTTTTTTTATTATTATTTATGTGGGTGTCTGGGCCAGCTTGCGCGTACCACGACTAATTCTCATGGCCCACTGAATACCCTGCAAATCTAGTAGGCATGTAAGGCACCGCGGGGATGACAAACATACGTACTATAACTTGAACCCAGATACAGTGAAAGGAGACAAGCCCCTTCTAGTCGTGGTCTGTGTACTACAATGCGTGTCCTAGGTGTTGGAAAATCATAAGATATTCCAAAGAATGTTTTACAATTATTTCACGTAGCGACGTGGTTAATTTGGTGTAAAGCTAGAGTAAAGGGTCATACGGATTAATTAAGATAGGCAAAAATTTTTAAAAAAGTTATTTAAAAAAATTGAACCAAATTTTAATTAGAAGAAGAATTGACTTTCCAAACCACACCGAATTTAATAATAATAATAATACCAGATCCTCTGGGTGTATGCAATTCATCCATTCATAGTATACAGAAGGAAATATGTCACCACGACTGTTCATGAACTCTACTAGCTCCACTTTTATTCAAGCGGATGGATAATTATTCCCACCGTGCTGGATAATAGTTCTTTTGTTGATCTTATCATTGCATGGCATCTCCGCAAGTCATGACCTAATGTATCTAGTCTCGATTCTCGAGCTTCTTTCGGAAAGGAAAAGAGAAGATATTTTTGCAGGGTCTGTGGTGGTTTTTGCCCACACTCTCTGTGTGTATGCTCTAAAACATTGTTAAAGAAACAGCCCGAACCGAGTCCACATCCAACGTTGGACAGTGATGGGAAAGAAGAGGTGCTCGTGAATTTACATAGCGTACCATGCTCGAATCATTGATCTTTGGTCTGCCCTAGGATTCATTGAAAAGGTAGGGCGTCCGGTGTTCTTGTTATATCCAGAGAGACCAGTCACTGTCTATTTCCCGGACAGGCTTGCTTACTACTGTGGATGGTGAGGCATCTTTCTGGCCCATCCTTGCAACATGCGGTAATTTGCTTGATTTTTCTCTCGAAAGAAGCCCCAGACCTTGGCACTAGTGGCACCACACTTTTCATATTGCCATAACTTTCCCATGGGAAGGAAAAAGTTCTTTTAATACCGATGACTCAAAGATTCGAGGAATCTGTGCCTAATGTCGCTACTGGCATGACACGTGCAAAACGGGTCGGAATAGGCAGAGCTATTCTAGTGGGTTGAAAGTTTTTTTATTTTTTGCACCCTTATGATTTTTTTATTTTATATCTGGTTGCCCTCTTTATTTATATTTATATAAATATCATTTTTTTTATTTTCAAAGTTATCTTTATTTCATCCCTATTTGATAAGAAATCTAGATTACTCTTAATTTTTCATAATTTATTGCATCTCATTTTATTAGATACGTGTCAAGATAAAAATAAGCTTGGACATGCTATTCTATGTAACTTATAATTTGAGAATAACAGAATATTCTAGTCAAATAAAAACCGAGCAAAATGATTTTGAAAATAAAGGGTTGATATTATTATAAATAAAAATAAACGAGGACAAAAAATTATAAAATCAAAATTAAAGAGACCAACATAACCTTTTTTTTTTAGATTAACGTGGGTGTCCGGGTCAGCTTGCGCGCACCACGACTAATCCTACGGGCCCTGAAATTAACGATCATGTAAATCTCCAGTAGCCATTATATGAGCAACCAAGGACTCGAATCTGAAACAATAGAGGGAACAAATCCCTTAATCCCAAGTTCCTTTTAATTCCAAGTTTTTATCACTTTACCACCATCTAGATGGTTAGCTCTTTACTTATTATAGTGATGGCCAATGTTATATAGGAAGACAGAGAGAGCAGTTTGTCTGTGCTGTTGGCAACCAAAACGGACGGCGCATCCTCACGCTGCTTGTGGATACCACCCCACGCCAAACTGTCTGGACCAAGGTTTAAACGGCCAAGTTTTTCAGACTCGTACACAATTTTTTATATTTTTATGAAGAGAATCGTTACAAACACACTATTTCATGCAGGGTTGCACCATTTTTCTCGCAAATCTCAGCCATTGGTTACTTTTGAACAGCAGATAAGTACCAATAAAATGAGTGGCTTTACAAGCATCAACGTTTCCGATTTCACATCTTGAGGTGAATGTGAGGCTATAAGTATCTTATTTTACCAGGTAGACATAACATATTACAATTTTCTCAAACTCGTACTTTTGTTCTTATATTTCTTATATTTACTCCCTTAAACGTTGGAGAATTTCTTATTTCGCGAGGAACTGTTTTTTTAAAAAAAAAATCAATGTAAACTCTTGGCCAAAAAAACAGGGTTAAATTAAGATTTTTTTAAAAATCATATTATACTTGAGGAGGGGCAAAGGGGTAAAATATTCTATAAATTAGTATAAAAAGGAGGGATTTTCTTCTCTCGAAGACAGCGGCCACAACGAAGGAGAAAGGATGACATTTTCAATTTTGCTCACTAAAATCTTAGAAAAACTAAGAGAAAATTAGGGGATTTATAGAAGAATTAAGGGGAACTCTTACATGCACCTATAAACGCTTGATTAAGAATGAAAGAGAAGCGAAAAAAAATTGAGAGGGGCTGCACAGCCATGGTAGCAAGGAAGAAAAAAAAGGTGATTCAATTTTTTTTAACTAGTTGAGATCTGAAGACTCGAACAATGTTTAGTAAGGGTTCGGTGTCTACTCTAGTAATTTCATACCGTTCAAATAACATTTCAAGTAAAAATCATAAATTTTAGGCTAGAGCTTATATTTTTTTTATAAAAAAATACAAATTAACTATAAATTAATTAAATTTAGTTATATTAGGCCGTGTTAGGTGTTGAATTTAGTAGAATAGATGAAAAAAAACATAAAATCCTTAATAACCCAAGTAACCAGCCAGAGAGAAAGTTAGACTGGTGATATATAATTGTATATAATCAAGTGAAATTATTGTGAACTAATATATACTTATATAGAGAAATGGTTTTTAAAAGAATTGAAATATAATATGAAATTTTAATTGAAATGTTATTGTACAGTCGGAGATTTTGTCAGCATGAATGTTAAGTGAATTAACTTTATATGCTTGAGTAAATATTTAATTAAGCATGAAGGGTTTTAGAGAATTGAAATTAATGATACGGCAATATATGTATATATGTATGTATTTTTAAAAAAAAAAATTGTAAATGAGAATTTATATAAAAACAAATTCAAAAAAGAAATTTGACATGTTTGTTAATATATAAGAGACTACTAGAGTTGTGCTGCAGCATAAAGATACCCTAGAGTCTTTGATCGCAAGTAAGTATTCCATATTTTAACATTGTTTTTGTAAGATTGTCATTATAATATTTTGGACATGTTATATTATTTTATTTTTAATTTGTAAAATATATAGTGGAATAAAGAAATTTTATAGTGGTGGGATTAATGTCCAGCAAAGGATAGTGAAATTAATTTCAGCGATGAGATTAATGTCCGGTAAGGGGGAAAACAAAAGTCCCCGTGAAGGGATTAAAAATTAGTTATGTTGATGGAAATAAATTTTGGCTACAGACATGAAAAATTAATTTTTTTTTATATTAAAATTAATGTTTAATACTAGAAAATATAATTTTTTTTTAGGATGTAGGAGTTTTACCAAGTAATGGATAAAGAATTTAGATTATTTACAAGTAAAAATAAGATATACACCTATGCGAGCCGTAAATTATCTAGTGTTGGATATAGGTTAAAAAAAAGCTTAACATAAAGAATATAGCTTAGGAAATAGAATATGTATTGGAAACAGTGATAAATGAGAAATATTAACACATAAAATAAATCGTGTAAGTTAAAAACAAACCATGTGAATGTAATTGAATAACCCTTATGATGAATTGTATTAAAGATATGTCCGTGTGTTTA